CTAGGGATTAAAGCGTGAGCCACCATGCCCAGCAGAATGTATTTTTAAACCAAGAAAAAAACAAAACACAAGAGACCTTCTCCCCAATTAAAAAATAAAAAGGATAAAAAACAGGTATTCTGGTGGGTGCAGTGGTTCACACCTGTAATCCTAGCACTCTGGGAGGCTGAGGAAGGAGGATTGCTTGAGCTTAAGAGTTCGAGACCAGTCTGAACGTGAGCAAGACTCTGTCTCTACTAAAAATAGAAAAAATTAGCCAGGCATGGTGGCACATGCCTGTAGTGCCAGCTACTTGAGAGGCTGAGACAGGAGGATCGACTAGCCCAGGAATTTGAGGTTACAGTAAGCTGACTCCATTGCACTCCATCTGGGGCAACAGAGTGAGACAGTCTCAAAGAATAACAGCAGCAAAAAAAGCATGTATTCTCCTTCTATTTTTTCCATGTTTATATAGACACTCATAAATATACTATTTTGTAAAAACTAAGTCAAATCCTGCATACTACCTTATAACATGGTCTTTTCTTCTCAACAACTTATGGTAAACACTTCTTTGTGATAATACATACATTTCTACATCATTTGCAGTATTTTATAAATATACCATGGTTTACTTAATCCCCCATCACTAACATTGAGATTGTTTTTAGTTTTTCATTATTATAAATAACGTTATGGTCAATATTCTTATAACTGAATCGTTGCACAGTCTTTAATTATTTCCTTAACGTAAACCCCTAACAATGGAGTTACTGTTGCTGCCATTTGTAATGTCTTTTTTGAATTATCTGTGCATCTTCTTTGTCCATTTTTCTAAGGTGCAGTGCTTTTGCTTTGTAAGGGTTTTTTATTAATTAAAATTTTAAATGTTTGTAATATGTTACAAGTATTTTTCCCATTCATTTAAATAGTATTTATTCAAGGACTACTATGTGAATGGCACTGCAAGTTGAGAAGTTCAGAAGGTTTTAAAGTTTTAAGTAATCAAATTTATTAATCTTTCATTTTAGGGTTTCTGCCTTTGACGTCTTGATTATACATTATTCTTATAATAAGAAAAAAGACTTTAAAAAACATCTCCAAAGTCCCAAAGTAACCCTGCCATGATTCAAAAACAGTCACTTACATCTGTGTCAACCCACTGGCGAACATCCATGGGTGCAGCTGTCATGTCATCTATTTTATAAACAATGTTGGTTGGAGCCTTCTCTGCATGTCTAATTATCCCCACAATAATGACCTAGGTTAGAAAAAAGTAAGTTCGGTTTTCCTGGAAACCAAAGCAACACTGATGTATTTTTAAATGAAGTAACCCTTATTCCATTCTTCATATGATTTAGTGACTCTTCCATAAATTCTTTTACATACCTGTGAAATCTCAACATTCCCAATTTTGAACACTTCATCAACCAGAGTGGCAGAAAGCAGCTGAGATATAGTACAGGGCACAATGTGCTGGGCTCGGGCTCTCTGAAAAGAAAAAGTATGCAAAAATCCAATTAAGGAAGTAATAACTACCACTCATTTAACACTTGCCATGTGCCAAACACTTTAAATATATTAGAACACTGAATTTTCAAAACAAACCTCATTATCCTTGCTTCTGAGACGAAAACCAAGGTCATTTAACTAGCAAATACCAAACTTTTACAATTCACACCCAGGTTTGTCTCACTCCAAAGCTCCTGCTGAACAGATTAAGTATGTGTTCCACTAAGAATTCACCAAAATAAGCAGGCTAGAGGGGGATAGTATAAGGAAGAACGACCTACTGCTGGAACAGACCTATAAGAGGAAACCTGAGCAATGGGGACAAGGCAGGCTCCGCTGTTCATGTCACTGACAAGATGAGATGGTATTGGCAAAAGGCTTGAGAAATGGCCAGTGGAGACAGGACTCTGGATTTGCTGTAATGAAGACATTGACAATCGCATCCTAAAGCAGCCAGACAATAGCGTAAAATCTTACTTTTGCCTACCACTGGCAAGGAGTAGTATGGGTGATATAAAGATGAGTAAGATGGGATAGGATTTGCCTATCCTATCCAAATACACTCCTAAGGGAGGTACAAATGTAAACAACAAACCTGATCTTGACACACTATTGAATGAAATATAATGTACTATGTGGGATCTCAGAAAAAATTAATTAGCAATTTCAAACAGGAAATCTTTGGGCTGGACTTTGAAGCGTGAGAATTTCAATAGTGAAAAAATAGCAGGTAAGGAATGGGCATTATAGGCTGAGGGCAAATATGTACTCCCACAGTCTCACACAGGGAATACGTACAAGGTAGAAATGGTATTAGAGTTCTTCCTATCAGAAATCAACAGGACATGACCCAATACCTGTTCTACATGTAAGACATAGAATATAATAGACTCTTGGCCTTCGTGGATTTAGTAGTCGCAGCTCTGACCTGAAGATCCATGACACTGACAATATTTCACTTTGCTGAAGCATAATTTTGAATGGTTAGTATTGCCAAGAAGGTATAAAGCAAGCCCAGCCAACCACCACCACACATGCCACGAAAGGTAGCAGGTGAGCTTGAGAGGTTTAAAATTATGGCTCTACTCTCAGGAGCAGTGACTCTCAGGTCATGTTTCTCAACATTTATACCTCGGTTTCCTCATCTGCAAAACTAGGAATGATAAAATCATTATGAAAATTACCTGTATGGTAATTAGAATACTACCAGGCACATAGTAAGCACTCAGCAGTAAATGTTAGCAATTAATATGTTAGCTATTGTTCCTCATTCTTTATATATGCAACAGCTTTTAATAAGGATGTGAATGGATCAACTATGTGTTTCAATTTTACTTTATAGTATTTTATAGGTGAGGTTACATGCTATATTAATATTTATAGATTTAAAATTTGCAGAGATCCCAGGTTTTACCTCTCACAAATTACTATATTTTATGTTTTTACCTATTATAGCTGAGATTTTCATTGTATCTTCAGCATAAGAAAACTAAGAACCAGTAAGGTGAAGTGGCAAGAACATGGGCTTTGGAGCCAGACAGTCCTACAGACTTGTGCTCAAGTCCCAGCTCCACAGCTTTGGACACGCCACTACATTTTCTGGAAATTGAGAACATCTAGCTTTCAAGTTGTAAACGAAACATATAATGTATATAAAGTGCTAATACCATTCTCTGCATGTAGTAGATATTAAATAAATATTATTCCTCAGGTAAAAAAGTTACATATGGGTAATGAAGTGTCAACAATGCCCTTAAATTCACCTCAAATCAACTACTTCTTGTTTTTTATTGAGCACATATTGTATGCTAGGAAATGATCACAAGGAGTTTCTAGTTTGTTCCAAAGAGGTTCAGAGAGTGTGCCAGCACAAGTATGTTTAGTAACAAAAAAATTATTTTGATAGCTGACTATCAAGCACAGGCTACTCTGACAATACTGTATGAAACCATCATTTTTATAGGTAAAAAATGGTCAGTATTCGAAATTTCACATGGCTCAACTGAATGTAACAAATGTATAATCAACAGAAAATATTTTAGATAGTGGTTATTTAATTTACTGCAGAAGAGACTAGATTTAAAAACAAAAAGACCTGGGTTGGAGTCTCCAGCTTATAACCATCATCTTTCTCTGAAAGGCTGTCTTAATACACAACCCAGGCTAGGGATTCTGAGATAAAAACTCCAACAACCAGAATGGACAAAAATAGTTACACTTGGGGAAAAAAGGTGAGAACCAATAATCTACCTTTTGTATTCTCCTTCACAACCTCAAGAAAAACAAAGTTAGAGAACTGAAGTCCCCTCTGGTCTTCCAGGAAAAAGAAAACTGTAATAGAAAGAAGCAGCTCCTCAGCAGATTTTGCATTTGTTCTACATCATGTGTGCACTGGCTGGTTCCAGTCACTTCCTGTGTAAGGTTAAGCATACAAAGCCTGTGTTCTTAACATACCTGAGCCTCTGATACTTCACAAGATTATATTTAATAATTGATATGAATAATATAAAGCAAAGCCCAAATGTACAGGAATTATCAATGAATTTTTCCCCACCAATACAAACCCCTGAATAAATTTTCACCCCTGTATAAACTTATCAACCTATATATAAAACATATGTCCTGCTCATACTGAATCTTAACACCACATCTGAGTGACAAGTAATGACAAGCCAAATTAAACTTTTATTTATGGGATGAAATCAACAGCAAACTCATTTCTGAAACAGCAAATAAACATTTAGACAGCTTCCTATAGAGCACTTTCCTACGCATTACCTTATTTATCAATTCTCAGAACCACTCTGTGATATGAGCAGAACTAGTGTCACTATTAGATGAGAAAAACAAAGGGTCACAAGTTTCAAGGTGCTTCACTAAAGTTAAAACACCAGTTAAAAGGCAAAACTGGCTGGACTCGGTGGCTCACGCCTATAATCCCAGCACTTTGGGAGGCCAAGGCGGGAGGATTGCTTGAGCTCAGGAGTTAGATCACCCCGAGTAACACAGTGACACCCCGTCTCTACAGAAAATTTAAAGATTCACCCGGTGTGGTGGTGAGTACCTGTAGTCTCATCTACTAGGGAAACTGAGGCAGGAGGATCACTTGAGCCCAGGAGTTTGAGGCTGCAGTGAGCTATGATGACGCCACTGCACTCTAACCGGGGCAGCAGAGTGAGACCCTGTCTCAGAAAGAACTAAAAAAAAAAACAAAACTCATTCTGAAGTCTACATATTCTGGCTCTAAAGCCAGTGTTCTTTGTACACAATATTAAGTCTCACGACAATCTTGTAAGGTATGTATTAACTCCATTTAATATGTGCAAAACTGACTCCTAAGCAGAGTAAGAAAAGTGTCCAATGACACCCTGCAAGTGAAGTGCCAGAGCAAGGGCGGAACATAGATCTACTTGATTCCTTGAATCTCACACTCTTTCTATTGCCTTCCGTCGCCTCACTACATTTAATTAAAAAAGGTCTTTGAATGCATAAAGAATTAGAATAGGTTATTAATACAAGTTCAGAGGTTTTCCATAAGCCTGATTCACTAGCTATATCGATGAATTTCAAAATAAAGCTAAGGGGAAAAAAAAAGCCAAGGAAACGGCGGATGCAAAATAAGAGAGGACTTCATTTTTAAAACTTACAGCACATAATTATCAGAAACGCGAATAATAATCGACAATTATCGCAACCCTTAATGTTTTAACACCCTTCTTTCGCCGCATAAATTTTCTCTCGAAGATGAGTAAGGGGCTTCAGGACAGGATAAAATAAAAAGAAATACCACTTCAACCTACTGATTTCTTTTCCGCTTGAGAAGGCGTCGGCGATCCAAAGCCTCCCGGGGACTGCGTGTAGCCGCCGGCTCCCCCATACGTGGAGCTGCCATAGCTATCAAATCCCCCACCTAGTTTTGAACAACGGTATTAGTACCTGTGCTGCTTCCCGCGCCTCTGAAAAACTTGGTCTTTGAAATCCAAAATTCCCTGAGATTTCATCCCTTCCAAAACTCC